CTTTCCCACCCCTGCCCCCCTTCCACTGATAGCAGAGCTCCACTGGTTAAGTGTAATCTTATGCTGCTGTGCAAGTGTTCTGGTAGAATTTATGTAGATTAAGGCTGGAGAAGTAGGTGCTATTTAAAAATATATTACAATGTTAATGTTTTTAAAAATAACTTAGCTGTTTGTGTAGTTTAGGTGTGAACAGAAGGTTGGACTCAACCAGTTAAGTTTTGAGTATAGCACTAAATCTTAAATTTTGTCTTTGTGGTATTATAAAACAATTATTTTCCTCACCCAGATTGGAAGTATTTGTAGGTCTAAGTCAAAATTTTCAGAGTTGCATGCTTAAGTGTTATGTAGACATCAAAAAAAGAAAACAAAACGCACTTAATTTTAAAGTGCCGTGCATCTAGCATTTCCTTTTTGAAGCTGATAGCAGCTCTGGGGTGCTTAGTGCTTTTAAAGATCATATTTGATTTTAGGGTTCCAATTTTAGGTACTCCTTTTAAAATCTCTTGGCCTTATTCTTTATGTATTTACAGGGTACCTAGACTTCCATGTAGTTGTGTTCATACTATGACTCTGCTCCACGTGTCATTAACAGTTTGGTCAGGCCTTGACTTTAATCAGAAAGAAGAGATCATTGTTGTTTTTGTTTGTTTCCCATGTTTGCAATTCAAAGGAACATTCTGTTAGCCAAGTATATCTAGAAGCATGTTATTTACATTGGGGTAATGCCCAAAGGTCCTAGTAATTGTTAGGTCTCCATTAGAGGAGGTCCTAGGACCTCCATTGTTAGGTCCTAGGCACCGTGTTCATTTAGGGGTAGACGCTCTACCTTTTTAAGAGTGTGGTTTACGTTTTTGGGGAGTGAATTGTCTTAAACACAGTAAGAAAAACAAGGAAAAGCTTTAGCAATTAAGCTGTTTAAAAATAGAAAATCAGCTAAACTAAGAAATAAGAGCAATTGCATCTTATTTCTTGCTGTTCTTTACATATTTAAGATCTGTGGAAAATAAAAAGCTCTTACAATGTTTCAGTAGTGCTGTATTTTTCTGTTCAGTCAGAACATGAGCTGCTTAAGTGTACAAATGTTTATCCTTTGTCTCCTAAGATACATATGATAAGTTCATTTGTTTAGTTAAAACAGTCATTTTCCTTGCATTTCATTAAAGAATAAACCTTCTGATATAATGGTTATGATTTTTGCTGACAGTTGGGTTTTGTACTGATGCTTGTTTGGGTCTTAGGCTGATCTTTCCTTTTTGAATTTTGATTTAAACAACTTTTTACTTGCAGCAAAAAAAAATCTTGAGTTAATGTTTTATGTTCGTAAATGTTCAATGCTTGTGGTAAACAAATCTGAATAAAGAACTCTAGAACATAAACATACTTTTTTCTTTGCATGATGTCCTTAGGCATTTGTAAATAATATAGTACATGGTGTCTGTAGGTAAATGCATGGTGTCATAAACAGTAGTCTGACATGGCCGTTGCCTTTTCTCATCTGCAGGTGTGTGTTGTTTCAGCGCAGCATGGCTGTGGTCATCCGCTTGCAAGGTCTCCCGATTGTGGCGGGGACCATGGACATTCGCCACTTCTTCTCTGGATTGACCATTCCTGATGGGGGCGTGCATATTGTAGGGGGTGAACTGGGTGAGGCTTTCATCGTTTTTGCCACTGATGAAGATGCAAGGCTTGGTATGATGCGCACAGGTGGTACTATTAAAGGGTCAAAAGTAACACTATTGCTCAGTAGCAAAACTGAAATGCAAAACATGATAGAACTCAGTCGTAGGCGTTTTGAAACTGCCAATCTAGATATGCCACCAGCAAATGCTAGCAGGTCTGGACCACCACCTAGTTCTGGAATGAGTGGTAGGGTAAACTTACCAACTACTGTAACTAACTTTAACAATCCCTCTCCTAGTGTAGTAACTGCTTCTACTACTGTTCATGACAGCAACAAAAACATACCCACATTCTCCACTGCCAGTATTGGAACTGCACCTCCAAATCTTGGGACTACCTTTGGTAGCCCAACATTTAGTTCAACAATACCTAGTACAGCATCCCCAATGAACGCTGTACCACCTCCACCAATTCCTCCTATGCCAGCTATGCCATCTTTGCCACCTATGCCTTCCATTCCTCCTATACCTGTCCCACCTCCTGTACCTACCCTGCCTCCTGTTCCTCCTGTTCCCCCAATACCTCCTGTACCCCCTGTACCACCAATGACCTCTATGCCCCCTATATCAGGAATGCCTCCTATGAATCCTCCACCTGTAGCACCTTTACCTACTGGAATGAATGGGTCTGGAACAGCATTGAACATGAACAGTGGCTTGACTCCAATGTTTATAGGTCCCATGAATCCTGTAAATCCTATTCAGATGAATTCTCAAAGTAGCATGAAACCACTTCCTATCAATCCAGATGATTTGTACGTCAGTGTTCATGGAATGCCCTTCTCTGCAACAGAATCTGATGTAAAAGACTTTTTCCATGGGCTTCGTGTGGATGCAGTGCATATGCTAAAAGATCATGTAGGCCGAAATAATGGAAATGGACTAGTTAAGTTTTTCTCTCCTCAAGATACATTTGAAGCACTGAAGCGAAACAGAATGCTAATGATTCAACGCTATGTTGAAGTTAGTCCTGCAACAGAGAGACAGTGGGTGTCTGCTGGAGGCCATATCACTTTCAAGCAAACCATGGGTGGTTCTGGACAGCCCCATCCTCCTCCACAAACACATGCTAGGTCCAAATCTCCTAGTGGACAGAAAAGGTCAAGATCAAGATCGCCACATGAGCAGGGTTTCTGTGTCTATTTGAAAGGTCTGCCTTTCGAATCGGAGAACAAACATGTAATAGATTTCTTTAAAAAATTAGATATCGTTGAAGACAGCATTTATATAGCTTATGGACCCAATGGAAAAGCAATTGGTGAGGGTTTTGTTGAGTTCAGGAATGAAGCCGATTACAAAGCAGCTTTATGTCATCATAAGCAGTACATAGGGAATCGTTTTATTCAAGTTCATCCCATAACTAAAAAGGCGATGTTAGAAAAGATAGACATGATTCGGAAAAGATTGCAGAATTTCAACTATGATCAGAGAGAGATCATAATGAATACTGAGGGGGAGACTGGTTTGCCAAAATTATGTGCACATATATCAAATATTCCATACAATATTACAAAAATTGAGATTCTTCAGTTTCTAGAGGGACTGGCAGTAGAAGAAAACTCTGTGCAAATTCTTGTTGATAATAACGGGCAAGGTTTAGGACAAGCCCTGGTTCAGTTTAAAACTGAAGATGATGCTCACAAGGCAGAACGCCTGCACCGTAAAAAACTCAATGGAAGAGATGTTGTTTTACGTTTGACTACTGTAGAAGAAATGAGAGAAATTGAAAGAAATCCACCGTCCCAAGGCAAAAAGTTGCTGAAAATGCCAATGCAAGGGAACGTAGCAGTGCCAGGAGTACAAAATGCTGGTGGTGATGAGCATTCTTTCATGAGTGGTAGTTCGAAAGATGTCAACAATGGCCCTCCATTTAATTTTCCTGGTAATTTTAGTGCTACATTTGGTCCCCCTCTGCCGCCACCAGGAGTTGGTGGCTTTGGTGATTCTAGACCAGGAATACCTTCAGTTGGAAGCAGTGGTTTGCCTGGTGCAGGTATTGATATCCCAGGTTTTGGAAGTGGTCCTAGTAATTTGAGCGGACCATCAAATTTTGGAGGGGGACCGCAAAGCTTTGGGAATGGGCCTGGTAATTTAAGTGGCCCTCCTACTTTTGGTAGTGGCCCTCCAGGTATTGCAAGTGGACTTGGGCATTTAAGTGGACCTCCAGGTTTTGGACCTGGACCAGGAAACTTGCATATTAGTGGACCCCCAGGTTTTGGAACGGGTTCTGGTAAACCAGGGCCTACTGTCATTAAAGTACAAAATATGCCCTTTACTGTGTCAGTGGATGAAATTTTGGATTTCTTTTATGGTTACCAAGTGATCCCAGGTTCAGTGTGCTTAAAATACAATGAAAAAGGAATGCCCACAGGAGAAGCAATGGTTGCATTTGAGTCTCGTGATGAAGCAATGGCTGCTGTGGTTGATTTAAATGACAGGCCTATAGGCTCAAGAAAAGTCAAACTTGTCCTAGGGTAGCTGTTCATATGAAATGTCTGTAGAATAGTTACTCATAGTGCTGTGATTAATACATCCACATTGTTTTTATAGTGTATCCAGGATAGAACCTGTGGATTTGTTTAAATTGTAATCAGATTTGTTTTGCGAAGACAAAACAGTGGTTTAGCCATTTACATAAGAAACCCTGCAAAGATGAATGTGCAGAGGATTTTTGATTAAAAGTATGTGAGAAGAGAGATTCTTTTGCACCAAATAGAAAAAGTTTGCTGAAGCTAAACTGACCCCATGATGTTTATCAAGGAATCTAGATTGGTTTTATGTAGTTGTGGATAAAGGAAATAGTTATGTAATGAGATGAAGTCAATGATGCCCTCAGTGGGTGCTATTGCAAGCCATTGTAAAATAGATAGCTCTTCCTAGATTTGGTTAAAAACTGGCTGAATTTACTTTGTTCCGGGTTAAAGCTTTGTTTATAATTTTCCTCTTCAAGTGAATGAATTCAGTGTATAGATTAATTGTTTTGTGTATGTACTCTTATTTTCAAAGGTTATTGCTGTATAGATAGAATTATGCACATGGCTAATGTCTACCAAGCTATTTCATATATACCTATGAGCAGAACTGTTCTGTAAAATTCAAGCTGTTCTTTGTGGAATAACCTTTAGCTATTGTTGCAACTATAACTGTGCAGAATAAGACTTTTGCCACAAATGTAGCTACCGTCAAACATTATTGTATTTAGTTTTCTAGTAAAAAATAAAGTTGGTGCCATGCCAGCAACAACTCAAAAAAACATTCATCATTGTTTAAGTAGCTTGATTTGTTAGGATTATGTAACAGTTGCGATAGACTCTTTGACACTAGCTTGGATAGTGAATGTTGTATTTCTCGTGTATCTTCTGAACTACTCGCAAGGAATCTCTCTTAAGAGAACCAAAGGGATTATCTTTATTAGAAGATTGGATTCCAGCTAAAGATTTCATGTTTAAACTACTCTTAAACGCTTTTTATCTTAACTTCAGCAACTGTGCTGTGAAATACTGTCATGGGTCAATTCAGAGATTTAATCTTATTTTCCCCCCCCCCCAAAAAACCTTGAAAACACTCTTTTGAGTTTACTATATTTTTGCAATAAACTTGTGCTGTTTTATTCAAATTCTGTAAAGAGTTGACATTTTCTTTACTGTGGAGTGAAGACTTTCATGGAGAATAGAAAATCAAAAAGGAAGCAATTATTCACAAGATTGAACAGTAGAACTTGTAGTTTGTCTACTCTTTGGTTTATTAGACATTCAAATTCTTTTTGCTGTCTGAAATTCCACAATTCCCTGCAAATCATTGTACTTAAACATAGTAGCCTGTAAGCTGTTCTGTTTCTTGGTCAAAGAAATCTCGTGCCTTTTAGTGTTGCATATTATGGAACACTGAAGTATACAGTCTGGCATAATTTATAGGTGCAAGTGGCAACAGTTTTATTCATGTAGTGTATAGGGAAGATCTGAAAACCTGTGCAACGCTACCTTCTGAGAGGATTTTCCAGTACAGGAATTTTTGGAAGGATTGTAAAAGGTGTACTACAATAAAGAGGTGGTTGCATTACACATCCTTTTGAAATTCATCGGAATAAATTTGTTTTTGACAAATCACTAGGTGGTGCACTCCCACATTTGAAAAGCTTTGTGATTGTATATACTGTTTACAATTAAGTCTCCTGTTAATAAAATTGTCTCTCTTTGTTATGTGTTTTAACAGTCTTGGGGATATTGTTTCAACAGATGTTTTTCTTTGAGAGTACTATTACTGATTCAGTAAGATGATTTGAATAGGAGACAAGTATTTGAGGTTTTTTAAAAATTTTGCTCTTTGTTCTTGAAACAATTTTCTAATTAAAATTTCCTACTATATTTCAGTTATTATTTGGGTGCTGTTTCTTCATATTTCACACTAGAATAAAATTACTGAAAAGGAAAACCTGGTTTCACTGTGGACAGATCTGGTTGAATTTAGAAGATATTAGTATATGGCTTGCAGAAATTGATGATAACTATTTCAAGCTTAAATGAATCACAACATGCCTTTCTTGTTGTGAAATTGTAATTAAACTACTAGTATCTGGAATTTGATCCATATGCATCTAAGAGCTAAAATAGTGCAGTGCATCTTGATTATCTTTTGGATGTCAGAGCATTAGTAGACCTTTCTGAAATACTCCAGGAATTTCTTATATTGTGAAATCTGCTTTTACACATTTCTCTTCAGATTTTCTAACAAGCTGCAGGTCTGTGTTGGGAAAACGTACATGTCCGGTTATTTTAATTTTCTGTATGGTCTAAAGGACTTGTAAAATTATGTCCTAAGTTGTGCATTTGTAAACACTTTTCATTTTCAAAATTTTATGTAAAACAAAGTTTGAGTTTTGTATTTAGTAGGATTGATACTGATGGAAAAGGAATTTTCTAATGACGGGTTTGAGTTTACTTTTCCGTATCTTGCTGTGTGTTTTGGTATACTCATGACCTTTAGCATAATTCATTAGTAAATGCATCTTTGTAAAGTGTATACTTGTAAATAAATGTGAACTCCCCATAAATATTAGGAGGTCGTATTTGCATATAAAGCTTTGAGGTGTCTTCTATATAATGCTTTAGTAGCATGCTGTTTACTGTAGGTAATGATGAATTAAAATTCCTTCAAGATAATATAAAGAAAAGAATGCAGTGGGCTAAAATAAGTTGCAAATACATTATAACCAAATATGTCATAGGTCATTTTAGCTTTAGTTGGTCTCCTAAATTGTGGAAATCAAGGCAGTGGAATTTAAAGGATCCTGTTTATCTGGAACTTCGTGTCACTGCAAGATGTGCAAGAAAAAAAGTTACTTGCTTATTTAAAAATAAAATGTAGCTAGCAACCGTTAGAGGTTTAATACGCGAGGTAGAAGATGTGGAGGATATTGCTGTTGTGATAAAACATGTAATCTTACATAGTTTATTACATGGTGGGATGAGAGGAAGGACCACTTGATACCAAATTATAATTAACATAAGAGCTTGAAAAAAAATTAAATTGCTTCGGATTTAACCATTGCCTTTTGGACCTGATTAATATTGTGGCCTGTTTTAAATATAATGCTAACTGAAACGTTAATCTAGAAGTCCTTTGAAATAGACCGAGTTGTTGGAGTAAGGCTTTATTTTTAAAGTTAGGCTGCCTAATTTGGAGCCAAATCAGGATCTAAATGTGTCTGGTGCGTCTCACAAATATATCAAAAGCATTAAAAATTCAGCTATGAAAATACCCCATGTAAAAAGAAATATGACTTTGTGGCTTATTTGTACACTAAGGGTCAACAATGTGAAATAAAAATAGAATAAAATGAAAAGAGGCTTTAATTGACTTTAAATTGCAACAAGAAGATGCCACCATGGTACTAAATCTAAACTTTTGCTCTTAAAACAGTCATTTATTGAATGAATATTGCACAAACTAAAACAAAGTTTTGCTTTTAATGGAGCAAGTAGAACTTTTTAACTACAACTGTTGTATATTGATAAAGGTAAGAATTTCTTAGTAAAGGGCCACTGTGTTGCCTTTTAAAAGTAGAAGGAATTACTTTTTGAAGTTCTGTTGCTTTTTAGAATATTGAAAGATATCCTTTATACTGTAAACAGTTTATTCCCTTTTCCCTTACATGCATAATGTCTGAGTCTGTTGGAATTAGGAAGAAAAACTCGTAAGAAAGTCAACAAAAATTAAGATATTAAAGCAGCTTTAAACACCCGGGTTTTTAGAGGAGATCAACAAGTAGGCTAGAAACTTTGTGTGGGTTTGTCTTCTGTTTCAGTCATGTCTGTGAACTCCTAAAATAAGACAAGACCTTGAGAAACTATACAAGTTTCCTGAAGTGTAGTGGAGGTGAAAGAAAGTAGACGGTGTTATCTTTTATGTAACATTTCTTGATCCCAGTTAGTTCTGTTTTTAATGGACTGCTTTTAGGAAAAAAAAAGGGTTGATCATTCTTTATAATAATGTGGAGGATTTTATTGGAGTTTTCTGTTCTACTTGTGTAAAAGTAATTCAGAATGTGCAGTGGCTTGAAAACAAATGTTAAATGTATTAGCTAGGTTCTCACCTGTCTGTTTGCAATCTCCTGCCTACAGAGACCCTTCAGTTCATTTTGCTAATGCTGTTGCTGGTAAATGTTTTTTTGGAGCCTTGGAATGTGTAGAGAGAATAGACTCACATAGAGCAATGCATGATTTGATATATTAGTGTAGAATTAAGTGCAGTTAGCTATCAGCAAAACAGTGGAAACTGACTATATATAAAGAAAGCCTTTCCCCTGCCCCCTCCTCCTCTCCCCTTACAACTGCTTCTAGTATAGGATCTTTCAATTCTAGGCAGTTTTTAAATTCTGATGTACACATTTGGATACAACGGCATTTGAATTCAAACATAGTTACTGGTTGCTTCCCAAGTGTGTTTAAAGCAAGCCTTCAGAGCAAATAATTTTTGTTTAACAGGACCATGAATGACACTTTGTAGAACCCTCTGGGTATAGAGGGGCATAACTGTATCAATATCAAAGGATACTGGTACAAGCTGTTAGGATGCAATTTGCATCTGTGCATGTAGAGATACAAGTGTAAGAAAACCATTCAAAGTAACCCTGCCTCATTTAAAGTCAGAGTTAGTGTGATTTTAGTTAAGGGTGTAGGGACAGATGTAACATTTTGAGGTGCTTTTATTTTATTTAATTTTTTTTATTAATGACAGATTAAACATTTAAAGATTTGGAAGTGAGCTGCACTTTGAAACACTTTAGCTGCAAAAATATATACATCCCCCCCCTATTGCCTTTCTCCAGCTTCCCCCTCCCCACTCCTACCCCCATGGAGCATTCCAAAGTTCTTGCAGTTGCATGCTATAGCACGCTCTCCAGTCAGGATGCACTGCAACCTGTGGCTTCTGGGTGAAGCCAACATGTCAGTTAGTGTTTTGTGCTCCATCTCTGCCCTGGAGGACCTCCCCTTAGTTGGGTGGGGGGGTGCAGGTTGGGGATGGGGCCTTCAGTCTTACTATACTGGAAGGAACATGGAGTATGTGGGATATTGGAGGACTCTGCTCTTCACTGCTATGCTCTGTAGAGCATGTCCAGATAACAGGTTTCTAAATAGTACTTGTTTCCTTATTTTTGGAGCAGTTTGGCCATTTTGGGAATGCTTCAAAGAGTGTTTACCTCCATCAGCTCACCTTCTGAAGCTGCCAAAGGTATTTGAAGTGATGTTATATCTGTCCACACCTAACTCATATTACTACTGGGTCATGCTGACATAAGTAGAGTGTAAGCCCCCCTCCCCTTTTAAAGCAGTTAAATGTATATTTGCCCATTTCCTCCATTAATACTTCTCAACTTTCTTTAATTCTTTTGTTGGGACAAGTTTTATTTTCCCTGTTATTACTGATGAACTAGCATGGCTTTTCCTGCACTCGTATATTAGATTGTGTGCAGCATAGTTCTGGGAATGAAATCTAATTGAGTGTACTCCTTGCTTCATCTTAGGCTGTGCAGCACAACTGTACAGTGAAGAGAGAGAGAAATTGTCATCTTGTATGTAAATTTGTTACAATGGGAGGTGTGTAGCTTCTCTCAAATCCTGCATGGTATTCCAGTAATCTTCCCTCACTAAAAGCACTTGAGCTTTGTCTCTTTGGGCCTCTTGATATAATCTGAATAAATGGTGACTTTTTGAGGACTTCATAAAACAATTACGATGCATTTAAGCAAAGACTCCAGAGGCCAATATAACTCTGAATTCTAACCATTTTAAGGTAGGTGAAATTTTTGCCAGCTATTTAGTAATGTCAAGCAATCGCACAACTTCATTTCAACCTGCATGTGTGGATTTTGCTTTGTTTTTTAAATCTAGTTCTTTGAGTTGACACACACACTGTGCTGCTTTCTGCAGTAGTAACAATTCCAGTTTTGAACCAAAAGCAAGGCCAGTTCACATGGAAATTACAAATACAATATACACTTTAACTGTTTATTTTAAAAAATGAACTCCTTTTGCAAACTTTAAAGGGTGAGGAACCCTTTAAAGTTTGAATGATTGGTATATTCCACCCCCCAAAAGCAGGACTTCAAAGTTCTATGTACCTTTTCAGGTACTTACATGGCCCTTGTCCTAATATATGACATTTTTTCTTATAATTTATAATGAAAACTGAAACATGGCTTCTGAAATACACTCAGGTTCCAGAGTGTTATTTTATAGGTGTTAGTGTTGCGATTATGAAGAAATATTAATTAGTTAACCAAAGCACCACTGCTGGAGTTGACACACAAGATATAAAAGTATGACGTGCCCTTTCACATTTAAACCTCCTGTGGGAATGAGTAAGGTAAAAAGGACAGTTTGTCTGTCTTATTATTTTACTATTAGCCAAATGCTTTTGTTAAAATGACCACACCTTTCAGTTCCAACACACCTTCCATAAATTCTGAGGAGCTAAAGGCCACAATTGCTCACTATTCAGAATCACAGTACTCAAACCACAGAAACTAAGATAATAAACAAAACATAATTGTGAGCTAGCAATACAAGAAATCACAATTTAAGAGCAGATCGTGAGAGCTTTAAAAAAACGGGGCAGTTTATCTTCACAAGGAATTCAATAAAACATTGTTCAACTCACTTAAAATTTCAGACCTCTATTCCAATATTCCTAGAAAATGTAGTTCCAGTTTGACATGGAGCCTTGCATTTACTTAAAGCTTTTTCATCTGAAGGATTTAATGCTTTACTGAGGTTGGGTAAGTAAATGTTTCTGTTTTTTGCTAATTGGGAGCTGAAATAGTCACTTACTCAAATCTAGAGAGTCAGTAGTAAAGCAGGCTGTGATTGTTCTTCTCCAAGTTTGAAGGAACATCAGCTTTGTTTCATTTTCTGGAATTGGTTAAAGGGACACTCTTTGGCCAAACCTGGTCCAGATTGAAGACTCATACCTTCAACAAATTGTAAGATTAATAGATATGGTATCTTTAAAAAAGTAAGAATGAATTGTGCATTTCTAAGCTTACCCATCAGTGTTTGCAGTTCAGATATTGAATTGAGTTGTTGTGGAAGAGTCAAAAGACAAAAACAAGTGAAGATTTGATTCCTTCTGTGCTATTAAAATAATCCAAAATGTAAAATAAGGTACACCTTGGAAAATGGACCGGCTGAGATTTTACAGCAATTCTTGTCAGTTTTCCACATTTGCTTCCATTTAAAATAAATTATAAAGATTCAGCTTCAATGGGAACCGTTAGACCAGTGTGAGACACTTGAAAAATACTGCCCTGGATGTTCAGAATCTCTTGAAAGATAAGTGTCCTTTGAAAGGCACTGTTTATTCTGTTTAGCTCAAGATTATAAATACTAAATTCATATTTATGCAAAGTTTTTAAGGGAAACCTACTATAGAGATTGTAGCATACTTATATTTTAAAAAGAGAAAAAAGCTTTTTGATGGATATGCAGAAAATGCATTTTAGTGGTCTTTCATAATACTGTTTTTACTCAGTTCCAAGATGAGGGTTCTTTTTTCCTCAGTTGACGGGGGGCGGAAGCCCCTCATCTTATAATCACATGCAAGGAAATCTCACTGAATACATGGTCTATCATTAAACTACTGCCGAAAGCAGCATAGGCACAGTAATGGAAACTAACTATGGATTTGATTAAATGTAGCTAACGCTGAGCATAACTATAAAAAACATGACCCACATTGAGCAAATATGCTGATGAGGACAGTACCACAAGGACAGGTTAATGCAGCTCATCTGAGGATTTTTTTTTAAATACAAATTTCAAGTCTCAGGCTAAATTAGCCAAATCGGTTCCAGATTCTATTGACTGAGGAGAGCTCAATCGTTCATGCCTGTGTGGTACTACCACCAGCAAGCATCTCCCTCCCAGACTCTTTAGCCTGGGGCTTCAGATGCTCCCAAATCCATGGCAGGCATCCTATGTGCAGGCATCAAGCTAAAAGGCCAAAGGAGGAAGCTAGGGGGAAAAATCCCCCATTTCCATAAAAAATGAAGTATGTAGCCCAGATCTTAGCCAATTTTTTTATTATTAAATACATTTTTTGTGTCCCAAGCCAAATTGGCTCAATCAAGTCCAAATCCTTGAGTCAGTCCAGAACCATAAGTGGCCCTACAACCAGCAAACATCTTCCACCCCCACCAGGAGCTTCAGATATTTCCAAAGTCTTTTGGCAGGCATCCTACGTGCAGGCCCAAGCCCAGAGGGCTTGGGGTTCAGATGCCCCCAAGTTGCGCTTGCCCTCAGTCATATGGC